CCCCCGCCGTTGTAGCGATCAAACCCACCGGAGGTGTAGTTCAACTTGTCAATGCCTCCCAACGCACGGAGCTGTGCCGGTGTTGGCTGCAGCTTTAGTGGTTTCGGCTTCTGTCGTCCCATCCGCGCCACGAAACCATTCGATTCATTGCCCTTGTCGAGGAACGCCGTCGGCATGAACAGCAGGTACTTGGCACACACAGCCAAAACGTACATCCCATCCGCTGTCACATCAACAGCAATCACCGGAACCTTCGTCTCCAGCAGCGTCTTGGCAGTCTTGGGGTTGTACTTACCGTCTGCCCGACGGCTTCCCGGCGGTCCTGTGTAGAGTCGTATATTCCCTGCGCCATCGCCAATGACGAGGTGGCCAGACGCCGACGTCGCGTGGCACGTGAAGGGTTTCCTCAACGACCCCAGCACGTATGTGTCCACCGTGCAGTCCGGCTCCACGACGATGTTGCTTCGCTGGTCCATACGCAGGTCCATGTTGAAAGCAACCTTCTCAGCGAGGCATGTGTACACTGGCGTCGGACCGGCGACGTGGGCACCGTGGGCCACCGAAATAACTTTCTTTGGTGGCTTGTACTCCTGCACAACCTTGCCGTACTCCATATCCACCTCACACAGCCGGTTATCATCCACGCTAAGAAGCAGAAGCTTCTTTTCCGTGTCGTCCAGAAGGGCAGAGTCGCATGACTGCACACCACCCAGCTTTATAGTTTGAGAGTCACCAACAGTGAAACCTCTAGAATTGAAAGCATGTGCCTGCAGCTCCAGCGCATTCTTTGTCTCCCGCACCACCACCGCACGGTTAAACCGCATCGACTCGCTGTAGCACACTGTTCCAGTACCCGTCTCCGCGGCATTCTCGTGCGCCACATCGAGCTCAAACATGGGTTCCTCGTAGTCCTCCGCCGGAAGTTGCGTCGTGGCAATACCGCCAACGTAGTCAAAGAACGGGTCGTCCAAGTCTAACTTCTCCACCTCTGTGTCGGTCATTATAGCGTAAGTGCAGCGGTTGTACACCTCAACAAAGCGCGTCATCTGGGCCTCCGCCGTCACCCGCGCATCGCGGCCTCTGAATTTAAACGCCAACATCTCCACCTTGCCTGCAACAATGGATGGCCAGTGCACGGATCCCTCCTCAGCACTGTAAGAAATCACCATACCATTTCCGATGGGCTGCCTCAGTGCCTCATCTCCCTCCTCCAGCACAACAATGCAGTACCGCTCCAGCGGCTCCAGCGTTTCTCTGGCCTCAATCGTGATGGTGAACGTGTCCATGGCGTCTCCATCGGTCAGCGGAACGTAATGCGCCGGCTTGCGAATGTACACCGTGCCGATGCCGGAGAATAACGTCACGGGGTCGTCACTCACCACAGAACGGGTATCTTTTCTTGGCATTGTTTTAGTGGCACGCAGTGTGTCTCTTGGTTTCAATCTGTTGTTTCTTTACTAATCAAAAAAAAAAAACCTGGCAAAACTATTCCTGAGGGAAGCAAACACAGAATGAAGGGAGAGATCGTGAGGAAGTAATCAAGANAAAAAAAAAAACCTGGCAAAACTATTCCTGAGGGAAGCAAACACAGAATGAAGGGAGAGATCGTGAGGAAGTAATCAAGAAAAGGAAACAGAGCACAAGCGAAGAAACGCCACAGTTCGCGAACTAAAAAATAAAAAATAAAGGGAGAACCTCACAGGAAGCATCCACAAAAAAAAACTCCCAAAAGCCGGCTCCGCAGCTCGGGGAGCTGGTGGTCAGGCACCCAAAATCAAAGGAAGGCAGAAAAGAAACAAGGAGTATCAATCACTGACACACATACGTCATACAACCCCGCGCAGCAGCAGCAGGACACATGAGTGACATGTACAACACTCGCTGACTCAGTGGCTC